TCATACTGACATTTCTGCTGTCATTTTACACGTCCTTTCTCTTATTATTTACAGATTTTATATTTTAATATATTAAACGCTATTTCTGCTAAGAGAGCAATCTCTCGATCTCGATGATTAAATGGATGATTATATAATTAATGTGAATGGATAAAATATAAATACGCGCAGAACACAAATTTCCCACACAATAACACAATTTTTTGAGCAATATCCAATAAGTTTTTAGAATGTTCCTTAAGAATGTATTAGACGTACAATTCCTGCAAAGAAAATTAAATTTGTGAATAAGATTATATTTTTGTTTAATAACACATTTTTGTAGTTTATTTATTTTAATTGTTATTATTTTTATTGTTAGAAATGAAAATTTTTTAAATAATTAGAAAATTTACATTTTTTTTTATAAGTACTTCAAACGTTTAAAATAATTTATACAAAGTTTGCGATTTACTGAATAGTTACAAAGATATAGAACAAATAAATATTTTATTTATTTATTGAAAAACTATAGTTCATGTATCGCAATGTAACTCTACGTAAATAATCTTCAATATATAATGTACTTATATTAAAAAATTGAGACTTCATTAATTTTATAATACATTTCCATATATTTTTATTAGAGCACAGATTTAAAAAATACTACTATTTATTAAAATAACTTATGATTCCGAATATAGTTCATAGTCGAACATCAAATTTGTCGTATTATTTTTAAATATGATTTAGAATAATCTATAATTTTTTCATAATTTTGTTATCGTTTTAAAAATATGTATAAAACATCCTTAAAGAACTGTGCGATAAAAAAAATTAAGACGTTATTAATTAATTGATTTTATGAATTTATAACATCTCTTGAAATAGATTTGAAAACATTTTTACTCTGACCTCTATTACAGTATTGCAGTATTGTATCATTTTTATTTATTGAGATTGAATTTAAACTGTGTTTTTATCGTTTGACTCACGTAATCAAAAATGTATAATTTATACAAAAAACCACCCATCAGGACACTGAATAATTATTGTAAATATGATTATTAATTCGATTGTACAATTAGCGAATATTTGTTCGTCTGAATCATCGAGCACATAAATTTGTTGGATAGGAGAGAGTAATTTGTCAAATTTTTTATATTTTTATGTTTTACCTAACTATAAAATTTGTACATATATCTGCTGTTTTTATAATTTAAATTCGCTTAACATTAATTAATAATGACCTGATCATTTTCAAAACGTCTGTTCATTATAATGTTTATTATTTTTATATTTTGAATATTATAAGATATTATTTGGCTCGTAACCTTTCTAGTCTATTATCATTAATTTTATTTTTTTCGAGCCGTATTATTATTTTTACGTTTTTAAGTTTATTCAATAATGTAACTGTTAGTACAACACGTGTTATTTCACACTTATATTAAGTAAAAAATTATAATGTTAATATAATGTATTACTATTACAGTTTGTAATCTGGTGATTATATACCTCTTTCTCATTGCAAGCCTTCTACAGTTATTATAAATAAATAATAAATCAAACAAAATAAATATTAAAAATGTTTCCAATAAAAACAAACAAATAATTATAGTTTTCTGAATAATACAGAAGTTTATAACTTCCCTCCCTTCATTATATCAAACTGACCTTTTCCTCGGCGATGTGCATACCGAACTACGATTATATAACGACAAAACGGAACTGTTTGCGCCCTCTGGTGATATCAATCAATACTAATTAATCGACGATAGAGAGTAAGCTAGTATCAACTGCTAGTATAAGTAATGGTAGGTAACAAAGGGATCTTTTCAGCAGATATACAAATCGACTCATTTTGTTTCTTTCTGATATCGAACAAGATCAGGATGACTTTTGTGTCAATTTGTGTCTCTTGCTGGAAAACTCCCAAAGTCGAAAAATATGGGTATGTTACCCGCCGGATGTATCCATGGCTACATAGTTCTACGCTTTGTGCATATAGAGGCGCCAGTAGACGAGTTTCATTTAAAACACTGCCCATCAGATCTCAGGCTATCTCTGACTATTTTAGGCTTCGTTTGCTTTCTCTCTCTCTCTCTCTCTTTTCTCTATGTATACATACATTTGCAACATACGTACATATGTATATATAATATGATGATAGGTTATGAAGTCATGTATTCCTGCATCATTGCGTAGCTCTTAATAGATAATGACGATTAAGAACTCGAGCGTTCGTTTAACAAGTATATCTGCGTGAAGAGATCAATAAAGGGCAACATCCGTCGTTGGATTACGAGAGTCAGTGGGGCAAAATTGTACGCTCACCATATAGACTATGCAACAATTGAAACAGCGATAATCAAGCGGGGACGTGCAAAATACTAGGATTTAGCAATGACACCAGATTTGTCCTATTTTGAATGGGCTTTGTATCTTTGATTCTGGTTTCCGTTTTCTTCCGAGAATGGACGGATTTGTATGTTCAGCTTATATACACATTAACAAAAATACTGCAACTTAGAAGATAGATCTATTGCTCTTGCATAATGCTTTCTTATATCTTGTAATACTTCGGATAGTCTATAATTTATAATATTATATTTTTTTATTATTTTTACAAAAAATTATGTATCATTAATATTAAGAGTTCAAATAAATTTAATCCTTTCTCTTAAAATTTTTGGTAATACAAGCCTTTAGAAAGCCGCAGAATTTTTAGCTTAAATTTTCCTGAAAATTTTGTTCTAAGAAAAAGTATATTTTTAACGTACAATAAGATACAAAATATATGAATGATTTTCATAGTCTTCTAAAAGTGAATGAATATATTAATTATTTCTATAGAAAGACAATGGAGGAGGCAATGAATCAGAATCTGACCATGATTGTCCAGAAATTCCTAATATCCCCTGGGTAGAGAGACCTAAAGAATGGACTTATACAATGAGAAGAAACATGCAGGTGATTATATCAAATTAATAAGACTGTACAAAATGTTGACAAAATGTTTGATCAAACTATACCAGCAATAATCTGTTAATTCCATTGATAAACAAATATCGTGTGTATAAAGATCGATCTAAAAAAGTTTCTTTTTGAATTATAATTTTATATAGTTTGTAAGAAATTAGTATACATTTAATTTTCTTGATTATTTTTAAAAAATTATATATCATTTATTTAATATACATTATGTCTATATTTTGTATCATAGGAAGTAGTACCTGGTGTATTTCTTGGTCCATATAGTGCTGCCAGTCGCTCTAAGTTGCAATCTTTGCTTGATCATGGAATAACACATATAGTTTGTGTCAGGCACGCTATTGAGGCAAATCTTATAAAGCCAAACTTTCCCAACAGCTTCAAGTATGTGATTTTAATTACCGCTTGTATAGTGGCTTAACAAAAAAGAGAATGAGAATGAGTCTAAGAACTTGAAAAAGTTCTTATTTTTGATTTTCTTAATATTTTTAATTATTAATTGTATTTTATGTTTCAATTTTACGATTAAGTTCATAATGATTTTTTCATAGTAATATACCAATTTAAGATTTAATTAATCTTGAATCAATGTGTCTTTAATTTCTCTCTTTATGGATTTGTATTTAATTATAATTTATGTGCTTACATTTTCTACAGATATCTAGTCTTGGAGATCGCTGACACAATAACGGAAAATATCATTCAACATTTCAAAAAGGTAAAAGCATTCATTGATGAAGCCTTAAATTTAGGCGGTCGAGTCCTGATTCATGGGAATGCTGGTATTTCGAGATCTGCCGCGTTGGTTTTGGCATATGTTATGGAAACTTACGAACTTTCACAAATGTAATTTTTTTTCTATAAATAACAATGTTGTTATCTGAATTACAGAATTATACATTTATTTTACATATTCGATAATTCTCACACTTCTGTTTACTGAAATTACAATATCGAAAAATATTTGTAATATTTATTTTAGCCATGCATATTCGATGGTGCAACAAAGAAGATTCTGCATAAATCCGAACGAAGGTTTTATGATTCAACTAAGAGAATATGAACCTATCTATCAGGCAGAAAAGACACTGAGAAATGAACAACAAAGTTCGGAAGTTCAACGTAGTAAGCGAACAATTCATCAGATTGAAATGGACAATCGATCGCAAGATAAGGTTGAGAACACAATAAATAGTTGATGATAACTTATAAAAAGTAGGGAGAAAACTGAAGTTACCAAGATTCATTTTAGATCCAACGAACGAAAATATTTTTCTGTTTTTAGCTCCCTGCATTTTCTGCTAATTTTTATTTTATTTTATTTTTTTATTCTTTACTCATCGTTTTGACTGCAGAAGGTATATGTATAGTGCAGCGGAAAAAACAACTGTGTAGCTAAATTTGAACTCCTAGTATTTCAATAGAATGATAACATTTAATTTCATTAAATAAATTATTCATTAACTTTGAAAATCTTATTTCTTGTTTATAAAGCAAGTTTTGTAAACTGAATTAGTTTACAAAAGAAAATTATCAAATTAGTATATTATTAGGTGTTGGAATTAATTCGTAGCGTTTTACAAGTGATGGGAAGTACTTTCATTAATGTATTTTTTAATGCTCATGTGAAATAAATAACATTCTTTCATTAAAAAACGCTACGAATTAATTCCAACACCTAATACAAAGAAAAATATCTAATAAAGTGCTAAATAAAACATACGGAATAATGTATTATTTATTTATTGAGATTCTAAAAGCGTTCATAATTAAAAAAAATTTTAAATTAGATATTTAAAATATATTCATGCATATGTACCAACAAAATATTCTTTTTAAATTTCTATTTATTTCTTTCATCATTTTTTCATATTAATATGCTTTGACATATTTGAAGTTAAATATTACATATTAAATATTACATATTAAATTTATGTCAAAATATTTAATTAAAAAATGGCACTTTCATATCTCTATCAAGATAAAATCTTCAATATTGTTCTATATTTTCCATTTGTTGAGATATCTTTTGAATCACTTAATTTTGGCTGGAAATTCTATGCATACTATTTTTTCACTGTTCTCATTCACAAACTCCCACTTAATATTGACATTTACCTACAATAATAAAAATTAAAAATTATTAATTGAACATATAAGTCTAAAGACTTTATTACATATAAAAGATATTCTTAACGGCTTAGAATTTTTAATAAATTGAAAATAAAGAAAATAAATTTTTAATTTATTAAAATAGAATTTATTAATTAGTCGTTCAAAAGGTATCAATTAAATTAAAAATTCCTTTCTCTCTCTCTCTCTCTCTCTCTCTCTCTCTCTCTCCCTCTCTCTCTCCCTGCCTCTCTCTCTAAATACACATACACACATGTGCGCGCGCGCGCACGTGTGTGTGTGTGTGTGTAAATTATATTCCACTATCAAATCCAAAATCCAATAAATTAAATCTCTTAGAGAAATCGAAATATATATAGCATATAAAGTTCAAATTTTACCAAAGGTAAATTTAAAATTTATATGTAAGGCTATTTACCGAAGGGAAACTCTTCTGCAGAAACATCGTGGTCGTATAATGATATTCTTGATCCTTATGTAAAGGACATTTGATCCCAGCATTAGGATCCTTGCATACATCAGGCTGGCTTAATGGAAAAGGTATCGGCAAGAAACTTATTTCACCGTAAACTCGTGCAATGATTTTCGAGATATCTTCGTCTGTAGAAGAAATGCACAAAACAATACATATATAATTATAAAACGATCATTACTTAATAAATGTATAGATCTATAATTAATTAATTTAATTTAATTTACTATACTTGTGTATCAAATATTATATAATTATATATAATAATATTGTAGATTATAGAAAGATTTACATCTTAAATATATTTTTTAACTAATAATTTAAATATATTTAACATCATTAAATTAAAATTGAATTCTCATAGATAAATTGGACATGTTTTGGATATAAATCTCATACTCACTAGGTGTAAAGTTGATAGACATAGATGCATTAGTACCGCGCATAAAAATACATCTTTCATCGGACGTATTACATTCGGAGATTACCACTTTCGTGAATGTACCTAATGTTGAGCCTAAGATGGAAATAAATATGAAAACTATATTAAATGAAAGTATAAATATATTAAATACAAATTAGATAACAAATAATAATATATTAAATATACTAGAAATATATACATACATATTAAATAAATTAAAAAGTAGACTGCTCTTTAATTTTATAACGATTGAATTATATTCAATTTTATTTATATAAATTAATAAATTAAAAATTCCCAAAAGAAGTAATTAAAATAATAAAACTGATTAATATACGAAATATACGAAATTAATTGTAATTATGAAATAGATCAAATTTTATAATTATAAAAGGTAGTAACAAAATATTAGATAATGAAATTTTAAAAATTTTAATTATATTCACAACAAAATTTCATTAAATTTTATTATAATTTCTAGTAGACGAATTCTCCTTATATAAAATACTTTCTATTATTAGATAATAATATTATACTTGTATATATGGCACCAACAATACATTCCGTATTTTGCCCTGCATGCTTTGTTACTATATCTAACGATAACTCAATTCTCGTATAAAATAAGCTTAAAAGGTGCGAGTCATCATTTATTTCTCAAGTAAACGATGCGTCACACACATTATTAAATTCATTCTTCAGAAACAGTATCTACATTATAAACTGATAACATAATCAGACTTTCACAATGCAAACAAAACGTGGCACGCCACTTAGTCATGAAAAATGATATATTGGGTCATCTAAAAGTATTGTGTTGACTATCAACACCATCTAGTGACAAAAAACCGCGGATACTTTTTAGATAACTCAATATTTAATAAAAACTTGTTGCATATTAACAGTAAGAGATTCTCTTGCTGTTAATATGCAATAAATTTTTCTTTCAAAATAAATTAGCTACCCATTAAAAAATATACTAAAAATACACTAACAGTAACATTACATTAATATTATAATTTTCTACTCAATATATTGGGTCATCTAAAAACCGCGGATACTTTTTAGATGAATAAATGTAATATTGTATACAACAGTTACATTAATGAATCGGAAATTATACATTCTCATATAATATTATTATATACTTTCAGCGTACCACGGGTATTCATATTTCCTTTCAAAATAAAAAAATACAATATAAGGAATATAAAATAGAAATACAAAGTAAATATTGCAAAGAAAAACTGCATTATAATTATATTTTTAATGTGAAATAGGAATAACAATGAATAGCGCGCAAGAATGTGTATCATGATTATTATTATTTCGCTGTAATCATGAAGTTTATTCAAACAGTATATAAAAAGTGTTTGTATAATAAACGCGATAATAAATGCGTTTACCACGATAAATATCTTTTAACATCAAAGAAACAAAAATTTCAAATATTATACATGCAAATCTACTGTTGAAACCTGAACTGATTGAAATTAGATCTACTTGGCTTTCTTAAACACATATACATTACACCTTCCTGCGCACTATCTGCGATGGATGCTTCTAGGCTTTGAAGGCAAACAAAGAAAAAATAAATTTTAGAAAGCGTCGCTTAGAAAAGTCCATCTTTATCGATACTAATGATAACTAATGATAGATAAACTTTAATCTCGGTTTAACTTACTCCAATTTTTAAAAGAAAAAAATAAAAAGTCAAACCCAGATTAGTTTATTTACATTAGTATAAATGAACATAAAAATAAAATTCCTTCCCTTTTTACAATAGATTCTTTTCTATTGTAAGAAGGGAAGGCATTTCTTAAAACAAATAGAGCATTCCTTTTAAAACACACCTTCCTTTCAGCACCTTGGATCGAATTTTTATAATTTTTAATACTTCATATACCATTTTTAATAATATATATCTATATAACATAACAAATCTTTAAAGCTTTAGTGCTTTTTTAGCAATACCTATTATCATCATTACAATTAACAATATTTATGTCAATTAATTTAATTTTGCATGTTATACTTGTTCTAATTATAATTTCAGCTTTCTATCAAAAGAAGGAAATTATTAAAAAGTGATCGAATTTGGCCTCACAAGTGTAAGTAAAAAAAATATTTAGTGGTTTTTTTAGTGGTTTTTTGATCTCCTGCATATGATACTAAAAAGTTATTAAAAAATTCGTGGCATTTGGCTCAATTTTCGAGATGGCAGGGAACATCTCGAAAATTGAGCCAAATTTTAAAATTGTATATCATATTCGAGCTCAATTTTTGAGATATTTTCCAAACGCCACGAATTTTTAAATAATTTTTTCGTATTCGGGTCAAAATCTACAAAAAATACTGTTCTTTTCAAAGTTGATAATGTTACATCATAAAAATAATTCGTTACCGTTCTTTTTCTAAAAAATAACTCATTTATACCGTAACTCAACATACAACGAGTCATTACTTTTTCACTTGTTTTTACATTAATAGATTATAACGTTTTTCATTGGCAACTCAGTGCATATTAAATCGTGCACATTATACACTACTCTAATCTGAATGTAAAATGAGATATCTCAATTGATAAAATGCTCAAAGTATATTTTATCAAATAGCATAATAAAATGTATTGAGAATTTCGCGATTTTTTTTAACTCGTTCCTATATTTTTATTAAACATATACCTATCTTTACGTCGATTTGTGTACAACGCTTGAAAGTAAGTTCACTAAGTTCACACTAATTCTGCCAATGAAAAACGTTACTATATGCAGATTTTTGCGGTAAACATTCTGAAGAGAAGTTAGAATTTTATCTTTTAGTAGAGGAATAAAACTCAAAAATTGATAAATATACTACACACACACACACACACACACACACACACACACACACACACACACACACAGACACACACACACACACACACACACACACAGAAAAAAAAAAAACAAAAAAAAATAAAAATAAACCACACACACACACACACACACACACACACACACACACACACACATATATACAGGATTTAGTAATTACGACTAAACTTTTACATGGCTAGAAATAAAGTAGCGAGAAAAGTAACTAATGAAATCATCCTTATCTCAAGCATTATTGTGCAAGTATTATTGTAACTGCATTATCATGAACATATTACTCAGAAGAAAGTGTAACGTCATTACCAAACAATTTATAACGGTAACGACGTTACAAGTAACGCGTTATTTCCAACCCTGATTCTTTTTACTTAGAACCAGTTGTTTCACCTTTTGGTAAATTTTACCTGTGAGATAATCCGATAATCCGCGCATGTGATTAAATAATCTTGCTACTTACCCAACATATAAAATTTACTAAAAGATGGAACACCGGCCCTTATATCTTTAAAGTCTGATCACAATGTGCTCTTTATTTCTTATTTCTTTCTTTTTACTTATTTTTCTCCTTTTTGTAATCGTTTTATTGACGATTGTATTATTTCTTGCCATGTGTTTCTTGTTTCTTCTAAAGTTCGTTAATCTTTTATCTCGGGCAACGGAAAACGATGAGATATAAGAGGCAAAAAAATAAGATGTAAGAAAATAACAAAAAGCAACCCAGTATCCGAAAAAATCGGAATTTTAGATTCGGCAATGACTACACGAATTCATTCCCATTTATTTTTTAATTCCTTGAAAATTGAAATAGATAGAAATAGATTCGTGTAGTCGAACCGAATCCAAAATTCTGATTTTTCGGATACTGAGAAGAAACAGGATATAAAAAATATATTATAGAACAGGCTTTGTGATCAAAATCGATTACTTTTTAACATTTGGCTTCAAATTTTTAAACTCATGATGGATAAATCTCGAAAACGCAACTCCTTTCAGTAAATACTATTATTACTATTAACATTTTCATTCAAAATTTATTGCAAATAATTTTCTATCAATCCCTGATTAATAACGATAATAAATAATAAAACACACTCACCGCAACTGTTAAAGTTAAAGGCAAAACAGGGCGCGAAACAATATGACGCGTAGAAAAGCGTGAATACGACAATCGTCACTCGGATCATGTTGCTGTTGCTTGTATGGATTCCACGCAGATAATGACGGGTGCTGCAATACTGCAATTGTTTTAACATGTGTATTCCCCTCTAGTACCTAACGAAAGAGCGCCTCCAATCGGTTTTCGTTGTCGAAATACCGATCGAGCTGGAAGTTTATCATATACGGTTGTGATCAAAGTCTCGCTACAAACACTTTGAAGCATTTGATGGATTAGAAGAAAGAATTTTACAAAGTGTGCCTTCCAACAAGCGACACAAGTGATACAATGGATCATTACATCCTTGTTATTTGCCAAATAAACAAAGATGACATAATCATTGTGTTGCATCATGTCGCTTGTTGGAAGGCACACAAACTGACTAATTAAAAAACGCTTCAAAGTGTTTGCAGCATCGTGTTGACCGTATCCTATATCAGAAAGGTTTCTCTCTGTTTATATCTTTTAACGATATTTCTTCCTTTTTTTTCTTTGTTTTAATCGTAAAATAATCGGTCTCTAAATCAAATTAAACAGTGGCTCAATCTGGTGACTCTAAATGTTCCTAGATCCAGGGACATTTACATTATTACAATCCTTGTTGTCTATGAAATTCAGATTTCGAACTATTATTGTCATACGTGTTTCTCTTCTGAAAAGTTAGTTTTTATTTCAAAATATTTTTGTGGCATTTGTTGCGATTCTTTTTTATCTACTGTTGCGGTTGATTTGATAAGTGTTATACCCAGAAAAAGATCGATCTGCATTTTACTCTGCGTTTTTAATAATAATTTTTTTAACAAACTTCAATTTGAATTGAACTTTTCGGACCTATAGTTAAGATGACCCAATAAGGGTTGAAACGTCTGTTTTTTTTATTTCATTTCTAAATATTGGGTCATCTAAAAAGTATCCGCGGTACTTTGTCACTAGATATATGACCATCAACACACATCTAACGACAAAAAACCGCGGATACTTTTTAGATGACCCAATATATGTATGTAAAATATGAATATAAATACTATTACAAAAATTATATAAACATTATAAATATAAAAATTACTATCAAAATATATATACATATATATACATATAACGGCGTAACCGCCCCAAAACAATAAGCATTAATCTATACTCCACCGTCCACATAACAGATTAATGATCGCATTACGTAGTACTTACTTGAGTCAACTTTAATGCCCAATATCTCGCTTCGTAGAGCAATCCCGGACTTTTTTTTGCCAGATTCTTTCGTTTTATAAAAACGCGTCGAATAAGCCTATTTGATTTTTGAGGTGAGTATGCTAAACTGTATAATTATCATAATTAATATACATATATGAAGTATACATGTTTTTTTATATAATACTTATATTTATATCTTTTTTATTTTACTACTAAGGTCATTGGAGGGAAGATGCCACACTTTATTCTTGAATAACTTCTCAATGTTATTGAATTAACGAACGAAAAAATATTATTTATATTTTAGCAACCTTTCTTTATTCATATAAATCAATTAAACTTTTGATGTTCCGTTTATTATTAAAAAAAATTTAACGTTTTAATGACGGTTTCAAGCAGAAAAAATTGTGTTTGTATTTACTGTCATCTTATCCCCAAGTGTAAAAAGAATATTCAATTGCAACTTTTATGCATATAAGAATATTACAAATTATAATCTATATCATCCACATGACCTCCAGGGAACGTTGATTAAAACCGTATCTCATTTATCTGTAAACAAATATTTTACAATAAGCATCCAAATACAGACCTTAGCTATTAGCATACTAAATATTACAAAGCATGTTCCGCGATCTATCTTTTCGTATTTTGTATAATCTTTATACCAATCGACTTTGGCATGAACATGTTCATCGCTATCGATAACTGCACAACTGTCTACCATACGCTTTTGCACAGTTAGTATGACCAACGCATATTCTATAAAAAAATTATAAACAAAGTGGCGTCTTCTCTCGAATTACCTCATAATATTTATATTTATAATATTTTCCTTTACTCCTATTGTAGATCCCGTATTATAATGATTCAGACATTCAGTTATATCAAAATCAAGGAATTTTAAAATGCTTGTGACAAGGTAAATAATAATTAAAATTATTACTGTTGTGTATATAATAAATAATAGTGATGATAATAATATTATAATTTACAATCTTATAACATATACCAAATTGATTTTGTCCAAAAAATCCATAAATCCATTTCGTTCATTTATGGATTCTTTATCTTAAAATTAGAATATTATCAAATAATATTATCAAAATACAAATAATATTATCAAAATACAAATAATATTATCAAAAGCATATCATTTCGTAACTGAAATAACAGAGTAAAATATAACTTTGTGTTTTCGATAACTCGACCTTTTCTGGGTAGGTTTATCAAAATCATAGCAATAGCACATAAAGAAGAGTCGCAATAAATGCCACAAAAATATTTTGGAAAATATAAATTTTTCAGAAGAGAAACACGCGTGACGATAGTAATTCGAAATCCGAATTTCATAGACAACACGGATTGTAATCTGGATTGATGTAGGAACGATTTAGAGTCATCAGATTGAATTCCACTGTTTAATCGGATTTAGAGATCCGATTATTTCACGTAAACACTCTTTAATAGTTGACTGCCTTTTCAATCGTCGAGGCTTTTCTACATACACACACACACACACACACACACACACAGTGTCGCATTTTAATTTCCCCAAACAAATATCTCGAAAAATATAGAAGATATATAGAAAAATGTTTCAGGCAGAAATTGCAAGTTTAGAAGGGGCCACATTTTGATCATATCGTTTTTTTTCTAGGTGAACGCATTAAAATAATATGAAAATCACCTCCACTTTTTTAATGGAATTGTATAATTTTTTTTACACAATATTTCTTTATTGTGCATACAAAAGTATTAAAGTAGCAATATCAAAAATATATGTTATATTTTAGTTGTATAATATTTTATATATAATATTTTTTATATAATATAGTGTAATATTTTATATAATATTGTAAACGAAATATGTTTCTTAATAAAAGTCTAACATAAATTATATAAAAATTACATTACGTGATTAAATGAAGGTAACATAGAAGATGCTAAAATAATAAAAAATATATAATAAAAAATATTTTTGTTGTGTATTTCAGAGTAAAATATCAGCAGAAAGATTTTTCTTGCTTTTTTTCTCGATAATATAAGCAGAAAAATAAAATAAAAAGTAAAAAATAAAAAATCATGATATTCTATCTTTGGGATATGCGCTATAACATCCTAGACAACACAAATTAAGTCCATAATTATTTTATAAGATATATCTTTAAATAGGTCTCTCTTTTAGATAGGTCTTATAAAAGTATTTCAGACATGTTATAGTCTTATATAATATCAGGCCTGTCCAATTTAAGCTTCGGAACCGAAACGCAAAGCTATCCATGAAAATCAATATGAGTAAGATTTTAAAGAGTGTAAAGTGTTTACACTTCTGAGCGACGCTTATCAATATTTTACAGTCCATAAAATCTTACATTGAATTTTTTTACGTCGATAGTTTTCCAAAATATTATACTCGCGAAATATTACGCTCGCGCGATCGAATTGCAAGTCCATGCGTACGCAAGAGATACACGTTCGTTAAGAAAGAAATAAGACGCTTTATTTAAAATACACACAAAGAAACAGAACGATCATGTACGGCGGAGAAACTCAGAAGCACATCCGAATATAGTGACGTGTGACACGATGACGTCCCAACCATAAAATCTGTCAATCTGTCAAATCCATTAAACAGTTAAGTTGTTGCTCGTCCCGACGACACAACGTGCTCCTTATGTGTTTCACTCAATTCGACTCGCTTGGAGACCGCACAGCACCGATGTCTAGTGCAAGCTTATTTAGGTATTTTAAAATCAAAAGACAAAGAGTATTTTAAAAACATAGAATATTAACAAAAATACAAATCAATCATTTATCATTTATTATTCCTACAATTTTAATCAGTGGAATTTGCGACATGCATGGAAAATGCAGCGAGATTCATTATTTAAAAATAATTAATATAGATAACGTGTACACTTGAATACTGGGGCGCAATAACTGTCATGGTCACTACAAAAATTCCAGTTGCATTCTTATACAACCTTCACCGGGAATTTTATACATATAATCTTCTCGTCCTTCTCGTTTCTAAATTCCCACATAACATCGACGCTTACCTAAAAAAAACAGAACTAATTTAACAACATAAAATAATTAAAATTTAAAAAGTAATATACAATACTTATACATAAATATATATATTTATAATAAAAATATATATATGTATATAATAAAAAGTTTACAAAATGTAGATTAAATATAGATCAAAATTAAAGGACAGAGAAGAAAAATGTAGCTATGTTCTAAAAATGTAATTAAGAAAATTTGATGAAGTATCAATTTTTTTTTGTATAACTTTAAGTATTTAAGATGATTTATATTAAAGTCATAGATTTATACTTTGTGTGGGCCATCAAGTGCCAATATCATGTAAAAATATCAGTCTTATCGACATTTATATGTTATCTATATTGTCTATAATATACAGAGTAAACTTGATGTAAGAAGTAAGAGAAATTGACTAATCACAATTGAACGTGAGCAGAATAATCAACTGTGATTGATCAATTTCTTATTCTTACTTCTTGAACTAGTTCTACATTAGTCACATCGCAGCATCGCAAGCGTTGCGATTCGATCAACATCAAGCTGGCTCGACTCTGATTAGATCTGATTAGAATACTTGCGACACGCTTGCGACACACAACGCTCCGATACACAACTAATATAGAATCAGTATTTATAGATACACCAAATTTACTCCTCATATTATAGATAACATTACTCAACAAACACAAAGTTACATGTACCTATTATAATTTCTCACTTAATAATGTAACTATAATATAATACGTTATATATAACCTTGTGTTTACTAAGAATATATAATATGGCTAATATTACATCTATTAGTATTGTATTAGGTGTTGGAATTAATTCGTAGCGTTTTTTAATGAAAGAATGTTATTTATTTCACATGAGCATTAAAAAATACATTAATGAAAGTACTTCCCATCACTTGTAAAACGCTACGAATTAATTCCAACACCTAATATATTATTGGCGCTATTGTATTTAATTGTTATAGATACGAATATAAGCGAAATATGTTGCTTTGCAATGCAGAAATAATTATATATAAGTAATTAAACACAAGACTCATTTCATATCACAGCCGTTTGTTACAATCAGTTGGTGTAATAATATATACACGGACTGCAAAAATGTTAACGTTGTGATTTAAAACAAAATTACTGCAGGAGTTTTCTTGTCCACGTTGAATGTATTTTTGAACTCAGTTTTCTGATCCTTCTTTAAAGGACACTGGACTCCGGAATCTGGATCTTTGCACACGTTAGAATTTTTCAGGGGAAAAGGTATAGGCACATCGAGCAACACACCAAACGCATGTGCTGTGATGTCCGAGATATCTTTGTCTGCAAAAAAAATGTATTAATATAATATTTATTTTTTAATATTTTATACATAATTATATTATAGTGTTGTAAAATTATCTGGAAATTCTAAATAAAATTTTGACCATCTATATATATATATATATCATGCACTTTTCTTCAAGAAATATCAAATTTTTTCTATAATATTGAAAAAAGTATATGACTAAAATACAATTATTTTACTAACTTGGTGTAAATTTGATGAGTACTTTTATGTCTGTGCCACGGGGTAACGTGCATTTTTCATCGGACACATCACAGCTTGAAATTGAGACCTCATCGAATTTGCCTGCCTCCGAACCTGAAGTAAATTTAAAAATAATCACAAATATAATTTGCATTATACACAAGCTTAATATTATAAATGTTTATTCAACATATTAATATAATTTAATTTAATTGAAACAAATTTATTTTCGCACAAACAACTGCATCGCGTGAAGGTGCGCTTTTTGTATTGCTAATTTGTTATGTAATTACATTTCATATAATAACAGAAAATTATGTATAAGCGTAATTATATATTAATCAAACAAACATCCAAAGAGTATACGTAATTAAATGACTTAATGTGTAATGTTGCTAATAGTTTCCGGTATTATTATACGTTCTTGATTAAAGATTCTCAATGTGTAAATAGTCTCCTTGTAATATGTAATTAATGATAAGAGCCAAGCAATGGATAATACATAATTAGTAACAAGGATCTTCAAGTAATTTCATAAAAGAAAAAGAGAGATTCTTAATTCTTATATACTATACTTACTTCTTATATACATATAAAACATTCGGATTTAATTTATTAAAATATATAAAATATTCTAAAATTATTTTTTTATAATAAATCCTTAAATTTTGAGATGATTTCTCCTTAATTAATACATCGAGAAGATTATTAATTTTATTTTATCGAATTTTCAAACTTTCAGTGTTTATTATTATATACTTTATATATATTTTTTTAACATAGCAGAGTTACATTTTTATTCGGATAAAATCAATTTCAAAAAAAGAATTTATCAAAAGAATGTTCCATCGTTCAGAACTTTATAAATATTAGAAATAAAACACTAACAATAAAATGCTCATTATTTACATTGGAAATGTTATGAAGCATTAAGATACGCTCCAGCATAGGGCGCAAAATTTTAATAGGCAGCGCTACTCTTATAAATATAAAGCTCTACTTTACTCAACATTTTAAATGAATTAGCTAAAAATGATTTTCTGAAAATCTTTTTAAATTTAACAATAGCGTTACAGATCTTATTAACTGTGCTAATGTTACCAATGTCTATGGCAACTGTAGAGGCATCTTTTTCCAAATTAAAAATAATATAGAATTATCTGAGAAATACAATGACGCAGATACGGTCATGCGATTTGCTATGATATTAATTGAAAAAGAATTGGCGAATAATTTTGATTACATAATCAGTTTTGATTACGTATAACAATTGAAGACATAATTAGAATTATTTAAAAACTACTAAAGCCAGAAAATATAATAATATGTTGCATTCGGCGTCAAATATATTATTACAAAAAAAAAATATGAAATTTATTATGTATTCCTATGTTATGCAAATTGGTGAAAATTCCTCTTTTTTTTTTAATTGTTGGTTTGTTGCCGTTGGCGGGAGATTGGTGCTTCAGAGATTTAGCAATACTTTGTGATGAGATGCAAAAATCAATTCCAGCGTAGGAACCGCCAAAGGCGATTATAGAGCTTCCACATTGAACAAACTTCAAATTTAAAAGGAATGAGAATTTAAAAATATGCAGAATATTGACATATTAAATTAATTATTAAATGCGATATTCTTCATGCGCAAATTTATCCCTTTTTTTATAAGCAACGCAAATTGCTGCATTGACTAATGACTTTTAATAGTCTTGTCCAACTTTTAATATTATTAATTAATTAATATGTTACATAAATTAATGTAATTAACATATAAACTAATGACACGAATAGCTGTCTTGCTAAAGAAGTATTAATCGACCTTCTTGCAAAGTTTTAGTTTTTCAAAATAATTAGAGTATGCACTTACCACAGTCCTCGAAAACAAAGGCAAGGGAGGATGTTGTTCCACACAGAATATATAATATCGAAAAAACAATACTGATCTGCATCATGTTGTTTGCACGTTTTTCATGCAGATATTAATAATGTGTGATCCTCGCTCCTCAATTTATAAGCGCATATCCAACTCGAAAACCTAATTATCTCATTTCATTAATAATAGACTATCTGCTATTGCAAATGGTTTCATTATATATACATATGCTTGATGCGTTTATTTATCCTTCTAACTATTGTTATTAGTTATATCCTTGTAACTATTGTTATTTTTTATGTATGTCATATATAAATGTCCATAATATTTAAATTTATTATGTCGACATAATAAATTTAAATATTGTTTAAGTATCAATTAAACGTATATTTAAATATCATTTCTAAAGTACTTAAAATTTATTAAAACTTTTGTGATCTGTTTTCAGATTACAAAATTTATTAAAATAAACTTAATCTTTTTGCCTACAATGTCGTGAGACTCGTGATAAGGAAATCGGGCTAAACATGAATAATCACGAATGAAAGCCGTGAAAATCAATTGGACCAAACGTAAATAACGATTATGGCACGCGCCATCGGAAATTAAATCGTAGGGCAATATAAATAGATTAAAATATTTCATAAAAATAATTATTATATCACCAACTATTTTGATTAATTAATCATATTATAAGCACATATACATAATCACTAAAATCACACCTGCAGTTTCCACACAATTATTATTCATATACAAAAGTTTTTCGCAATCAAGAATGTTTTATACGTATACTACACATTTTCAAAATGACAACAAAATTATGAAAAAATTACAGATTATTTTAAATCACATTTTAAAAATAATACGACAAATTTGATGGCGGTTGGTGAACTATCTGGATCATAAGTTATTTTAATAAATAATAATATTTTTTTAATCCGTGCCCCAATAAAAGTAAATAGAAATGTATTATAAATACATAAAAATCTCAATTTTTTAATGTAAGTACATTATGTGTTCAAAATTATTTAGAATTACATTACGACGCATGAATCAGTTGTCTAGTAAATAAATAAAATATTTACTTGATTTACATCTTTTACGTTCTGACAAAAATATTTTTAAAATCTATCATATGCAATAAATTGAAAAACATATTTAAGCAGAACAAAAAATCATCATGATGTTAAAATTCAAAATGTTTATTAAAAGCCATTTTTTTGATCAATCATGATTCAATTTAATGTCATTTTGATGTCATCGTAAGTTGTTCTACTTTAATTACAAAGAACTTTTGTACATGAATAATGATATTATGTGGAAACTGCAGGTGTAAGTGATTTTTTAATAGTGATTATGTATATGTGCTTATACATATAATGTGATTAATTAATCAAAATAGTTGGCGATATAATTATCACTTTTGAGAAATATTTTAAGTATATTTCAACAAGTCTTGTAATTTGTAAATAGATCACAAAATTCTTAATAAATATTTCAGAAATGATATTTAAATATATGTTTAATTGCTACTTAAATAATATTTAAATTTATAATGCAACAACAAAATAAATTTAAAATAAAAGTAAGACATTCACTCGTATTACTCAAAGCAAAATTATATAAAAATTCGGTCAATGATCGAGCTCACAAAAAGATATGAAAATAAAATTTTTATTTATATATATTTGATTGATACTTGAATAAAAATAATATATAAATATATATATATACATATATATATATATTCATTTTTTAAATATTAGAAACACCTGAAATGAGAGAGTTGCGTTCCAAAATTCAACTCTGTCAACTCGAGTATTATTTTATCCTTATTATCACTAAATGTTGAATAAAGATAAAAGATATTCGGAGTTGACAGAATCAAGTTTTGGAACGCATCCTTGAAACTTTTTGATAATATTTCAAAAAGATTATAGATTCTTTGTGTAACATTTCATCAACCTTTCAACAAGGTTTCATTATGTGCAAGAATCACGGACATTTTGCTATTCCAGAACTGTTTCAGAAATATGGCAGACATATTTCGCAATTTTTATGAAATGTTTCACTTTTCAGTTGAAAAATTTCTGAGATATTTCTGAAAACTTTCGGTACTATATGGGATATGTCTTTCGAATATCTGTGAGTTTGATAGTGTTTTACATATAAAAAAAAACTATGAACTGGACGAAATGAAAAATGTTTCCCTCATTTTATGAATCTACCGTATATTAAAAAAAATTGCAAAAATTTTCAACTTCTTAATGTAAAATCTTAAATAAATTTTCTTTACAAAATCGTTTTAAAATTGAAAACCGGTACTAATATTTGTTAAGTTCTTCTATTTATATAATCTGAATTTGACAATTTGCGAGGTTCCTTTATTGGATAGCCTTTGAACTTCTATGCGAAGCGATATCGACTGAGGTTCCATTACGACGTTGTTTAAATTACTCCGTATTGTGGCGCCGTAGCGCTTCAGTGCCAGCATCAATCGTGAGGAAGTGACGTTCTGACAGCGCATCATCCACGTAGCGTTTTGAGTACATATTTGTGCATTGCTGTTCAGGAACATCTGAGCAGTCATCAGAAGTAACGGTTTGTGTGGTGTATCCGTATAACGCATAACGTGAGTATTTTGTGTTTTTATCTCATTTGAATATTTTTACGTACGAATTTTATTCTTCTCTCACGAGAGGAATACTTACCTGTGCAATTCTTCGTGAAAAAGTTTGGGCTTCCTAACATAACCCAGATTTAATTTATTGCATCAATACATAAGTATGCCTTTTCTTTCTTGTCTCTATGAATGAAATATTTTTTATGAATCAAAGTAAAATGTGATACAAACCTGATAATGTTACATAAAACAGCGATTAGAACCTTTTTTTACATTAAAAAATTTGAGATTTTCAGATTTTATTTACTGGACCAAAGTATAGACATCTTGTGTGTCTATATACTAAATAAATATCTTATAATTTTTATGTATAATATTCTAACATAAATATAATGCAGATTTATGTATTTTTTATAACTGAACTTTTCATTTCTCTTTTTTTATCTGCAATCTAGTTATTGCCTGTTTTGTTTTGAATGTATAATTGACAGAATGTGTAACATAGTATAATTACAAAAATAGACCTATTATTATAATGTCATTACAAAATATAATCAATGATATTACAAAATATCTCAAGGATTGTTGCTCAATATGGAAGCTCGAAGAATATCTGAAAGATTGAAATGTACTCTATATATACATGTATGTTGTTTGATTAATCAGCTTATTTCAAAATTATTCTTAAGCAACACACTTCTACTTCTTTTCCAGTTTATCAATCGCTATGGATCAAATCAAGAAGCTCACTGAACCTGGCCGTCAGTTCGCCAAGGACAGCATCCGACTTGTCAAAAGATGTACCAAACCAGATCGCAAAGGTAATTTATTTTTATTAAGCTACGTATGCCTGAAATATAATGGTTAGTCATAATTCATTTTTTATGTATTACAGAATTTCAGAAGATTGCTATTGCTACTGCGATTGGTTTCTGTATAATGGGCTTCATAGGATTCTTCGTTAAGCTAATCCATATCCCAATCAACAATATCATTGTGTAAGTATTTGCAAGTATTTGTAAAGTATTTGCTACTTTATTTTAATTGTTTAAGAAATTTAAATATTTTTTTTATTTTCAGAGGTTCATAATATTAATCTTGATTCTCATCAATATTATTAAGGAAATTATTGATAATTATTGATAAGGTTCTGTAAGACTATGTGCGTTAATACTTGTCCCTTAATTATCTTATTTATAATAAAAAAAATGTATTTGCTATCTATTGAATTGCTTTTGAGAATGAAATAGATAAGAGATGTGTGCGTAATATTAATGAATTTTATAATAAAATAATTAAAAATTACTTACCTTCTTTTTTACTAATTATGTAACCTAAAAAATAAGAGAGATAAAATCTAAGAAATGTAATTACAATCTCTTGAACATAGATGTACAAACTTTAAGAAACACAAAAGTTTTGTATTAAAATTCAACAATACAATTAGTTATTTTAATTCAAAATAAAATTTCTTAATTTAATAAAATCCTATCATAAGAGGGAAATCCTATAAAGGTTTAAGTCATTTTTTTAGTATTGAAGACACTTTTATTTAAAGAATAAAATTTTTCCTTAAGTTATAACGATCAAATTTTGTCGGCCGTTTATCTGTCTTATTATTTGCACAAAATATTAGTATTAATAAAAAAAAATTTGTGAGAAAACGACTATATTGCATAAATCATAGCCAGGTACTGAATAATATACGTAAAAGATATAATAATGATCTTGTATAAATCTGGCATGCAGCTTTTCTTTACTTTATTTCGCAACTTAACACTGCTCCAAAAAAGCGATGTTTTTTTTAATAAAAAAATAAAAAAAGATTTATTTATAATAAAAAAATAAACGAATCCTTAGATACTATAGAAGCCACGATATCCAGGATCTTAATATTGGCAGTAGTAAAATAACAGAACTGGCTATTTAAAATCGCAAAGATTGTGCAAATATAAACTTACCGAAGCACTTTTAATGAAATTCTTAACATTGGAGCTGTGAAACATTAACTTAACAATATTACTTTCCAATTTAAAAAATAATATCTCCCATATTTAATACATATAAACTATATTAAATAGATAGATAGAAATTCATTGTTCCCCTAAGGGCACATTGAATTATTAAATACTCTATTCTGGCAACTTGATAAAAATTCTATAAAAAGAAGATAATATTTCTAGCACCATTCGCGTATCGTTGTTGTATGATACTGGCATAACTGCCTACTCTCTTTTTTTGCGATTTATAAGTCATACTTGGATTTTACTTGATTTCGTAAATTCCATATACTATCGAAGAGAAAGAGAGGAAAAAACGCGGAAGACTTTGTCCCGCTTTGCTTTGCTCGCGAAGCGCTGGAAAAGTTCCTCATGTTTTGTATTATCATCAAAAATTATTTTATCAATCTGTAGCAACATTCCGAACAGGGAAAGTCGTTTTCGTTCTAAATTGAAAATTTTCCTGCTAACGATCAGGCTAACTTTCATAGATTACGTGAGAAATCATCTTATAAGCGTAGCCCAAAGTGTGTTTGTCAAATTAAAAAGTAAAATAAAAATCAAATAATATGGAATCTTTCAAATAATTCAAAATTATTTTAAGACGCAACAGACACTGGAAACTTATAATAATAGGAAGAAAATATATTTCATTGTAAGAAATTATTTAAAAAATATATTTAAAATAAAATAAAATTCATTTTTTCCAATTTTGAAGATATTCAGTAATCTTAAAAAATAGAATTTGAATATACAGAATTTGCTCAGCAAACTTGTAACAATTATTATAGAATTACAGGGTACATTATGTTGTGCTTTCTCGCAATTTTCTTTGGCGTTTTTATCTGTTTTCACCTGTTTTTTTTATCTGTTATATCTGTTTTCATATGAATATTGGCAACTGAATCCAAGATCTTTAATTGCTATTCAATATATATCAAGTCTCAATTTGCAAACGCACTGAGGGGAAATAAAACGAAACTAAATTGAGGTATGTCATTAGGCACGTAATTCTCGATTCTCCAACGAATCTAATATTTAATAGTCATCATGTAATTAAGTGTTCATTGATTGTTAATGGCGTGCACTTATTTATGCAATTGTTTGCGCGTTGTAAAATTATACATATATATGTATATACGCATATTATATATATATATATATATAATAGATGTAATATATATAATATGCATTTGTATAAAATATATGCGTACGTGTGTGTATGTATATGTGTGTGTGTGTGTGTGTGTGTGTGTGTGTGTGTGTGTGTGTGTGTGTGTGTATATAATTATTAAATATCATTCTCATTACTCATATAATTATAAGTATCCTCTGAACGCACGTTATCGATTCCTTGATAATCAATATCAATGATAAAGAAGACTTACTTACACCGGGGTACTCGCGTGTACTCTCTTTCTCACTGTTGCAAATCCAAGACACGCACTTTGAGACACGAAATTAGAGAATTGCTTATTTCCAAAACGTTTTAAACCTTTTCTTAAGTAGAAGTTACCCGTATATTATTATATATTAAATTACATACAAAAATTTTCAAAATCTTCAAAATCTCAAACAAATTTTTAGAATATTAAATCTTATATAATCGAAAATTGTTAAGTCTTCCTGTACTTTTCAAGGCGTGTGACTTTAAAGCGATTTGAAAATAATTCTCTTCAATTCGTTAATATTCGTTAATATTCGCGGTCTCGATTTTCGCTTATTATTAACGACGGATCATGTTTTAGCGATGCCCACTTGTTTTACGAATTTTTTCATCGACGCGACAAATATAAAAAATAAAAAAAGGATGTATTCGTCAGCTGAATTCACTGAAAAATGTAGAAGCAGACTTTCAAAATCTTATTACTAATAGAGAAGATTTCTTTTTAATTAACTGAAATTATAAACAATTTTTAAAAATTAGAAAATTAATAATGCAATTAATAAAAATTAATATTTTGAAAGGGATGCTGGAGCCGTCTGTATTATCAATAAAACTAGCGTTGTTGATGTTTTTGTTCCTGTTGAATTTCTTCGTAATGATTTCACAGAATAAAAATTCTTTTTCCACGATTAAAATGTACATGCTAATGTACTTGTCGCTGGTGTAGTTCATGTTCTAAAGTTGGAAAAAATAAAAAAATACAGATTTTTTAATCCATTTTTATCTCAGTATGGCGATCAAAGTAAAATGAATAAAGTAAAATGGATAAAGAAATCTGTATTTTTTTATTTTTTCCAGCTTTGGACATGAACTACACCAGCGACAAATACATTAGCATGTACATTTTAATCGTGGAAAAAGAATTTTTATTCTGTAAAACTATGAAGTACATTACGAAGAAATTTGACAGGAACAAAAACGGCAAAAATGTCAATTTTATCGGTAACACAGACGACTCCAGCATCTTCTTAATCACGAATAAAATTTTTCTATTAATACATTGTAATTTAATAATTTTATTCTACATAACAATGATAATAATAATAATAATAATTCTTGTAAAAAAATGAGCATCACTGGTAGTCCGTCTTTATCTTACATTATCGATTATACAATTAAAGGCCTTATAAGAGAATGTCACAGTACGATTATTACGAAGGAATGTCTTCAAGCGTTCTCTACGTCGAACGTTTTTCGAGTATAACAAGAGCTCGTTAGAAAAAAGAGAGGAGGAAAAAGTGAAAAAGAAAAAAGGAGAAGGAAAGATTGATGGATGAAGAGGAAGACGAAAGATAAAAATCATTGTTCGCGTTTATGATATAATAATCGACTTACGAGCTATGGACTTACAATCGGGAGAGACAAACGGTGAGAAGCTCGGACGGCTTAGAAAATTAAAGTGTTAAGAATTAAATTATAAAAATTAGCGAAATAAAAATTAAAGATAATCAACGAAATCACTTTCTCCAATACCTTATATATGGAATGCATATAATCCTGCCGTTATCGGCATCCTGACGCCAATCATTTCATCGTGCAAAGTATACTGTTCAAAATAAATAATTTCAAACTACAACTTTTATATGATATTTTACATATTATGTTAATAATTAAAACTTATAAATTGTGAAATAAAATTCTAATATGCAAATTATAGAATATATTAAATAAAATTTTTTTAAATATTTACTCATAGTTTTCAACTCATTGAAATTTTATATGGATTTAATCTGCGAACACGTAGGTGATAAATAACCGAGTTGTATAAAAATTACAAATCTTTAAAATTAAATCCAAGAAGAGTTATTTTCACTAGCGTCAACTAATATTTACCATAATTTTTGATCTTTATTAATTTTATCATGTGTCTATGGAACAAAAAATATATATATTTTATAAAAGTATGCGCGCGCGTACTCAATTCTTATATATGCGTTCCGAGCTTCTCGACGACCCTCCCTCCCTCGAGACGAAGAAGAAGAACGATTTTCGCCGTTTTGCTAAACCGTGCAACCGGCATCCGATGTTGTCGGTACGAACGGACTACCCTGTCGGTAGAAATCGGTCTCGTATTCCTCGACCTTCACTGGGTAATCGGTGACGCAGTTCTGTGGCTGATTAAGGGCCGGCGGGGGTTGTGGCACAAAATTTTCCTGATAACTAGGCAGATGAAGGGGCTCGGCGAACTGCTGGTACGACGTTGCGTCCACGCCCTGCTTCAAACAGGTCGGACTGTGGAGACTCAGCATGTCGACCAGCCTGCGCCTCTGAGTCTCCAACTCTTGAATTTGTGACTTCAGGTCCAGGTTTTGAGTCTCAAGAATTTCGGATTCCTGCACAAGGATCACCGTTTTCTCGCGCTTTTTTAGTCGACACTTGGTCGCTGCAATCTTGTTACGCTCACGTCGTCGCCGGCGTCGTTCCTCGTCCTCCGGCGTCAGCTGCAAACGATAACAAATTTTGCACTTTTTTAATTCTGATATTTTCCATTTTCTTTCAGGAGCATAAGGAAATTTCTTGGATATCTTCAACTTCTTTTAGGAAATTGCAATTATTTCGATTCGTCGGGTTTGAATTAAATTTTTGAAATCCCGATTTTAAGATGTAAAAAGCTGAGACATTGAAGTCTTATAAGATTTCGAGATATTGAAAGGAGGCCTTAAAGAAATTGTATACAGTTCTGAATTTCTCTAATTTATACAAAACACAAAAACTCTGGATATTTTCATTTTTGATATCTTCTATTTTAGAAAAGCAAGGAAATTTCTTGA